TCGACCTAACACGATAACGCAAGAGGTTTTTATCTTATTGTAAGACGTTATCACATTAATAGTCAATTCATGTTGTTGCTTTAGGTGGAAGTTGAAATCTAGGCATTTTTTCAACAGGTCCCCTAAACCATTATCGACAGAGAAAAGACGCCTATATCTTTTTCCAGATAATAGTTAGCCGATATTGAATACAATTTAGAATTGACGTGTTGAGCTGCATCTAAGCGTATGCATCATTTTTGAATTCGTTGAAATCTTCACTTACCCTATATTCAACTCATGTCAGATTTCTCAGCGAACCCTATGACTTTTTGGATGACTTTTGCCGATTTGTTTATCAAATTTTAAATCGATGAGATATAATTCTCTTTTAAACTGAGGTTTCATGTACTTTTCTTCCTAAAGTATTTCTAAATCTCCTGTTCACTCTTGCTTTGGTTGTTTGATTGTTTAAACGTTTTATCTCACAATTTGGACCAGAGGTAGGCAACACTGCGCAATATGAAGTATTTTGTTATTTTTGATTTAAAATGCATGAGAGCAAAATCTAAATTACTTGGTTTTATAGGTTCATCCAAACTTTGGCGTTGAGAAAAATATAAGAAATTTTGGTTGTTTGCATAAACCGTAGGATACTTTTTTATTCTCAAATTTAAGGAATCTGGGTTTATTATGGACGATAGATACTCCAAAAACGAAGAATCATTGACTGAGAAAATATAAATAAACTTCACTCCATTTTTTTTACAGCTTTTTTCTAAGTTTCATATTCTTCACTCATTAAATGACTTCTCCATCTCTAAAATTACTGCCACTAACACTGGCTTTTTTTAAATATAATTGGTTGAGAGCAACATCGAAATAAGTTCATAATGAATTGACTTAAATCTCAGCGTCATTGTCATTCCGTTTATCATAGCAATCGCCATTCTTTCATTTTTTTGCGTCAGTCTATCAAATTTACGTTGATGACGTATTCGCAAATCACTTATCCCTGTAAATTGAGATATGATATCATTTAATTATTTTGAGGAGTAATTTTCAAATCAAACATAAACTGGCACCCTGGGAAAATATTCTTGAGTTTTTGAAAGTTTCTTTCAATTTTCTCCAAAGCATGTTTAAAGCTCTCCTCCTTGATTCCAAATCTCATGAAATCTTCATGACTTATTCCATAAAGCAACCTGCTAACTGCAAAATTTTTTTATCATAAAGGCTTCCCACTTTGAAGACTTACGTAGCATGCTAACAAGTCTTTTTGAAATAAAGTCTTTGATTTGCTAATAAACTTTCTACTTTGGAAAGTGAGCGCCTTGAATCATGTTCTTACACTTCTGATAACGTTGTATGTTTTCTGCTTTTGACATAGTAGTTCGTACAGCTAGAGAAGTGTTCTCTAGAGCATAAAAGCATGATGCGTGAGCTCTATGAATGATGGGGTTATTGTCCTTCCACATAGAAAAAACGAATAGCAAGGGTCCTTTTTGTGGTTATTGCTAATAACGTGCTAAAGGTATAAATCGTATGACTTCATATCCCTCGTGAGCCACATCCCATTTAGATTACGGTGGAAAATTAGCCTATATAAATAAATTTTGCAAGCTATCCTACTAACAATAACTTTT